GCCCGCCTCACCCGCCGTTCAGCCGCGGTCCAACAGCGCCCCCCAGCGGACACCGGCGGCACCGCCCCTGCGTTGGGAGGGGTTAATGGGGAGGCGAGGAGGAGGAACGGCTCCGCTTTAGACTGATTGACCATTAATTGCTAAATAAAATCACCTTTTCTTTTTTTTTTTTTTTAAGATTTGGGGGATTATTTTGGTGCTTTGGGGAGGCTTTTTTGGAGTTTGGCCCTTTTTTTTTTCCCTCTTTGAGGGTTTTTGATTTTTTTTGGAGTTTTTTAGGAGATTTCTTTCACTTTCGGAGGTTTTTTTTCACTTTCTGAGGTTTTTTTGGAGTTTCTTTTCACTTTCTGAGGTTTTTTAGAGGTTCGGGGGAGGGGTTTTTTAATTATTTGAAGGTTTTTTTCCGTTTTTTTAACGCTTTGGGGAGTTTTTTGAGTTTTGCTGACTTTTTGGAGAGTTTTTTGATTTTTTGAAATGATTTTTGGATGTTTCTTGGAGGGTTTTATTAATTTATAAGAGTTTTTTATAATTTTCTGAGGGTTTTTTGATGTTTGAGGGAGATTTTTTTATTATTTGATGGGTTTTTAGGGTTTTTTTTTTCTGGTGCTTTGAGAAGGATTTTTGGAGTTTTGCTGATTTTTTTTGAGATTTTTTTGAATATTTTTTAGGATTTTTAGAGGTTTCTTGGAGCATTTTGGTGGGTTTTAGGAGTTGTTTTTTTAAATTTTCTGAGGTTTGTTTAAGATTCGGGGCAGGTTTTTTTTTGACTTTTTTTAGGGTTTTCTGGTGCTTTGGGGAGGTTTTTTTGAGTTTTGCTGATTTTTTTAGGAGTTTTTTTGATTGTTTTTAGGATTTTTAGAGGTTTCTTGGGGTTTTTGGTGTTTTTTAGGATTTTTTTTTAATTTTCTGAGCTTTTTTTGATCTTTGGTGAGTTTTTTTAATTATTTGAAGTTTTTTAGGGGTTTTTTTGAGTTTTGCTGATTTTTTTTGAAAGAGTTTTTTGAAGTTTTTTTATTATTTTTTTTTAGGATTCTTGGAGGTTTCTTGATAGGTTTATGAGGTTTTTAAAATTTTCTGAGGTTTTCTGAAGTTTTCTGGGATTTGGGGGACTTTTTTGGGGGGCTGGTTTTAGGAGTTTTTTAAAAAATCCTTGAGGTTTTTTGAAGGGTTTTGGGTTTTTTTTTGAGTTTTGGAGGGGTTTGGAAGGGAAAAAAAAAACCACCCAAACTCCAGAATCAGGTGGCTTTCTATTAAGGAAATTTTTTAAGCACCTCTGGAGTCAGTTTGCTTTCTACCACAAAAATAATAAGAAAGCTCTCAGGAGTTCAATTTCTATTAATAAAATAAATTTTAAAAAAAAAGTCCGGAGACAATTCACTTATTATGAAGAAAATTGGGAAAAAAAAAAAAAGCAAACCCAAACCTCGAGTCATTTTGCTGAAATACAGAAATAAAAAAAAGCAAACCTTTGGAGTCAGCTTAATTTCTGTTAAGAAAAATTTTAAAATAAACAACTCTGGAGTCACTTCACTTTCTATTACAAAAATAAACCAAAAAAAAAAACCCCTCCAGAGCCAGATCTCTTTTTATTAAGAAAATTGAAATTAAAGCATGAGTCAGTTCGCTTTCTATTACAAAAAATTAAAAAAAATAAAAAAATCTTCCAAGTCAGTTCTGTTTCTATTAAGAAAATTAAAAGGACCCTCCAGAGTCAGTTTGCTTTCTGTTGTGAAAATTAAAAAAAAATAAAAAAGCAACCTAAAGACAAAAAGCCCACTCTGGAGTCAGTTTGCTTTTTATTAACAAAACTAAAAAGCAAAGCAAAACAAAACAAAAACCCCAAACAAACAAAAACCTCGAGTCAGTTCACATTCTGTCTCAAAAATTGGAAAAAAAAACCCTCTGGAATTGGTTCCCTTTCCACTAAGAAAATGTTGAATGCCCTCCTTTTGCGACGCCTCGAGACATGTTTGTCACCATTGCTTATTTATTTATTTTTTTATCTCTTTCCGCGTTTCTCACCTTAAATGTCAACACCCTCCTGTCCCATTTTGGGGTGGAGATTTGTCACTTTTCTGTATTTTCATATAAAACCAGATCCCTGGGTGGGGGTGCTGGGTGCTGCTGCCCTGCAGCGGAGCTGGCCTGGTGGAGATGGAGGTGGAAAGACTTGAGGAAGGAGGAAAAAAAGAAAAATAAAATTATTATTGTCATTTTTTTTGGAGGGAGGGTGGAGAAGGCCACCTGGGTCCCCTGGCCAGGAGATGGGGCCTGTCCTGCCTGCCCCTTTCTCCCTGTCCCTGCCGATGACATCAGGAGCGGTTGCCATGGCGATGCCGGCTCTCCCGGCACAGGCCCAGGTGGGGATCCAGAGCCCAGGAATCCTTCAGGAAGGAGGATGCTCTGCCCGTCTGTCCCCTTCCTTGTCCCCAAACCACCCTGACGGGTGGAGCGAGATGGAAGTGGGATCACTTCAGGATGGCACCCCCTTCACCTCCCACCAGCGGAGACCAGTTGGGTGCTGGTGCATCCCAAGGGATGAGGGGAAGTGGTGCAGAAAAGCCCAGTCACCAAGGAGAGTCCAAAGGTCACCCCAAGACATCTGATTGTGGGTTCAAGTGGCACGGCCCCCCCCGTCACGCCGGGAGGGCTGGGTGCCCCATGAACACCCAGTTTATTGTCTCTGCGGGTGCCAAACCAAACACCAGCAGGGTGGGAGAGGCACCACGGCACGGGGAGAGGTCTCATTCCTGGAGACGTGCGACCTCGGTGGGCACCGCTCTGGGAGAACGGGGAAAAAAACCCTTCCCAGCCCTTCCCAGTGTCGCTCCTATGGTGGGGAATGCCCACCCAGTAAAGTCACTGGGACATAAATCCTGCTTTTCCCACCCGGCCCCGGTGAGGGGATCGGTGGTGCCAAACCAAGGCGATTCCTCGGATGGTTCTGGGGGGAAAAAAACAACAACAATAAACTTATTGGGAAATGGTTCCCATCTTCAGCTGCACCAGTGACAGAGGGGAACTGGGATGAGGTGTGGGGGTGGCAGCAGGGGGGGATTGCCATCCTGGAGAGCCAAGGCAAGGGTCCCTAAGCAGTTATGGGGCAGATACAGGGGGACAATGACACCCCAACCTTCTCCAAAAATCCCAGGCCTTGTGAGCCACCCTCGTGCTCTCACGAGGAGCTGGATGAAGGAGAGAAGTGGCCAGAGAAGCTGCTGCCCTGGCCTATGCTGGCCTGGGAGATGTAGGGGTTCATGTCTCCCTTCCCTTTGTCTGTCCTTCTCCTTCCCCAGCGTGTCCCCAGGGTGGGCACTGACGTCCCTGCGCGAGGCAGGTCCTTCTCCTTCCCCAGCGTGTCCCCAGGGAGGGCACCGACGGCCCTGCGCGAGGCAGCTGGTCCCATACCCGGAGAGGCAGGGGAGTGTGCGGGGAGAGTGTGCAAGGAGTGTGCATAGAGGGTAAGTGTGCAGGGAGAGTGCATGGAGAGAGCAGAGAGGGTGAGTGTGCAAGGAGAGTGTGCATGCAGAGTGTACAGAGAGCGAGCGTGCAGGAAAGGTGTGCATGGAGAGCGTACAGAGGGTGAGAGTGCAGGAAGAGTGAGTGGAGAAGGCACAGAGGGTGGGTGTGCAGGGAGAGTGTACAGAGTGGGCGTGCAAGGAGAGTGTGCGTGGAGAGAGCACAGAGAGCAAGCGTACATGAAAGGTGTGCATGGAGAGTGTAGAGAGGATGAGTGTGCATGAAAGGTGTGCATGGAGTGTGCATGTAGAGCAATTGTGCGTGGAGAGTGCACACAGTGCAAGTGTGCATGGAGTGTGCACATGGAGAGCTTGCTTGGAGAGAGCACACTCAGTGCACACGGAGCGAGCGTGCACAGAGTGAGCACACATGGAGGGTGTGCACGGAGCAAACGTGCATAGAAAGAGCACACATGGAAGGTGTGCACAGAGTGAGTGTGCACAGAGCAAGTGTGCCCAGAGTGAGCATGTACAGTGAGTGTGCAGGGAGCGAGCCTGCGTAGAGAGAGCACTCACAGAGGGTGTGCACAGAGCAAGCGTGCCCAGAGAGAGCACATACAGCGAGTGTGCACAGAGCGAGCGTGCACGGCTCGGGCACACTTACCAGCAGCCCTGGCCAAAGTTCAGAGATCAGAAGGCTCTGGTTGTGCCAGCCCCAGCCCTCCCACCCCCCCGCAGGGCTCACACGCCAGGTGAGCAGCGCTTACACGATCCCGTGCCGGGGGCACGTGCGTGTGCACAGGAGGGGTGTGAGTATACCCACACACTCAGCGCAGCCCCAGACCAGCTGCACGAGGCTTTCTGCCACAGCGTGGCCACCCAAAGCCGCGGGGGAGAGGTCCGAGGAGCAGCTCTGGATGCAGAAGAGGCGATGGAGGATGTGGCTCCAGCAGCTCCGGCTGCCTTTGATGTCCTGAGCAGGGACAGCTGCCACACGTATTAAATGACTGCGGGTGTCACGAGTTTCAGGGGACTCAGCTCCCACGCAGGCTCCCAGGAGGGTTACACCGTGCCAAGCTCCCTTTCCAGGAGGGGCACAGGGGTCTACAGGGGTCTCCCCCGGACCTGGCGCTCCCTCAAGCTCCTTGCCTACAACCAGGGGGACCCCGCAGGAGAAGCAAGGACACCACTGAATTCCCACATTCTTCATATTTTTGGGGCCTGGGAGTCGCCTTGCACCACCTGAGTGCTCCCCCTGCCCGTATGTCACACTGTC